TAGTTCACAGTAGTGTTTTGAGGATAGATGGCTCCATGTGTTTTATCAACGTGCTCCCCTAACCCTAACAAGCTAATATGGCATTAACTGAATCCAATTCCCTCCAGGACACGGCAGCACAGGGATTTGTGGATCCATGTTGTGCAGACTTGAATAATGTCATGTTCGGGGCATGGTGCCGCGGAAAATGGCCATCCCAGCACAAGGCTATTTTTACCAATGTTGGGCTACATTCAGCCGACGGTAATGAATCATTTATTCTTCCGTTGAGTTCTCCGTAGGCAGAATGGAAAATAGAAACAAACCTTGTTGTGTATATAGGGTGGCAGCGTGAAGAGTACTGACTTACCGGGTTGCTCTCTTCAATGCTATAAGATTTGATAGACTAGTCACCCACAAATCATCATGCAAAGGACGTAGAACCAATTCCTTCATCCATAGTCACATTGTTAGTATTTATCAGACAGTCGGCATATACCGCTATGCCGTTGTCTCCAACTTATTTAGAGTGAGATTGTGGACGCATGAACCAGCTCAAGGTCCACATTGCATCACTTATTGGGTTTAAAAACTTGCTCTGAATGAGTCGCTCAGAAGATTTGTTGAAATAAAGGTTTTGAAGGTATGCTGTGAAATTAGTCTCAGGATGTAGCGACCTGGTATTGATGATGTGGTTGTTGGTCTGTTGAGGAGGAGAGGGTATGTTGGAAGGTTGCCTAACCCTGGAGAAGTAAAGGGCAACAGATCCCTAGTTAGTTCCTCGACGTCATCCTCGGCGCCGTCGCCGTCCTCCATCAACCCCGAACACCCCGGCCAGAAGGAGATATACGCCGTAACCGTGGGCACGGCGACCAGCCGATTTTTTAACCAACAAAAGTACCTTCAATACACAAAACTCCTACGGGCTTGCCGGAACTCTTTCGTATAATGACAATCAAATGCTACCTCGTACTCTCACACCTGATTTCGCGCCACCATGCGTCGTGCCAGAAGATCTCACACTGAGTCAAGCACAGCTCGGCTCGGGCATCGCAAGTCACATTCCGAAGATCGCAGCTTCGCTGGACGCATCAAGCAGACGATTACAAATCCGGGTTCTGTAAAGATCAATGTCAAGGGTGCTTTCATCGTCGAAGATGAGGAAGAATCGCCATCTCCTCCTAATGGCACGCCAATAGATGGTGTTCACTATGAACGCAAAGATATCCGTCTGCCTCACCACACTGCCGTTGTGAGCCATGTTGCCGTCGATGTATGCGTTTTTCCCCAATCAAACCCCAACAACCCCTCCCCCCTCCTCAATCCGCCGATAATTGCGCCAGCTTTAAAAGGACAATCAAGTCAAAATATCCTACACGAATATAATACAAGCCCCTCTCTAGGTCTTCATAGCACCAGAGCTAACACTCTTTCTAGATCGGAGGTTCCCTAGCAAAACTAGTTTATTTCTCCAAGGAAATTGGGTCGCCGGATAACGGAGGACGCTTGAATTTTATGAATTTCGAGACCGATCGGATCGATCTATGTATTGAGTTCATAAAGGAGTTGAAAGAACGCCATGAAAGAAACTATGTCACTTCCCCCGGCGAGCTCTGCGTCATGGCCACCGGCGGTGGCGCTTTCAAGTATTACGACCGCATGAAGGAAGCTTTGGGGATTAATGTGCTTCGTGAGGATGAAATGGAATGTCTGATTATTGGTATGTGCTGTTTCTTCCCTTTTCCCCCCTCCATTCACGATGTATTTACGGCATGGAATGATAATCTAACAAGCGTATATTGATAGGGCTGGATTGGTTCATAACTCAGATCCCGAACGAGGTATTCACGTACAGTGAGGCCGTTCCAACGGAGTTTGTAGAACCTCGACCGGATGTCTATCCGTATTTGCTTGTAAATATTGGCTCTGGGGTGTCAATGGTTAAAGTTTCTGAACCAAGACAGTTCCAGCGTGTGGGAGGAACTTCTCTGGGAGGTGGCACGTTTTGGGGCATAGTGTCCCTGCTAACTGGATCGCGGACTTTTGATGACATGCTGGCTATGGCAGATAAAGGCGACAACAGTGGTGTTGACTTGCTCGTCGGAGATATCTACGGCACCGATTATGGAAAGATTGGATTGAAGGCTACCACTATTGCTAGCACTTTTGGGAAGGTCTTCAAGATGAAGAGGCTTGCCGAGCGGCATGCTGCGGTTGGAGGGGTTACTTTACAAACTGAAAGTGACTCGGATACAGACCCTTCCCAGTTCAGCCATGAGGATATGAGTCGAAGTTTGTTGTACGCTATCAGGTATGTATTATGCTGCACCTCCTCTTCTCCCTCTCTTTCTTCGTTTGTTGTCCCCTTCAACAAAGCTTTTTTTTTTGACCCCGCATTTAGTAACAATATCGGCCAAATCGCGTATCTCCAATCCGAAAAGCACAAGATAAAACATATTTACTTTGGCGGATCCTTTATCCGGGGCCACCGCCAGACGATGAACACGCTCTCCTATGCCATTAGATTTTGGTCAAGTGGAGAGAAACAGGCATATTTCTTGCGGCATGAAGGGTACCTTGGTGCTGTTGGAGCATTCCTTAAGAGGAAGCCCGAAACCTGGGGGCGCAGGAAAAGCCTGGAAGACGCAGTTGCTTTTGACTACGCTGGTTGCCGGGAGAATCTGCGTAGGTGTGCTACGAATGAAGAACGGCGGTTTGGAGAGACATAAAATCGGCAGCCACAAATTACGTTACGTCTTTCTCAACAATATCTGCCCTGGGTTTTGCGACTCAACAGCTTCTGGTATCCTCCTATACTATCTCCCCCCTTGGAGACCAAACTACTCCAATGCTATGCCGCTTTGCTAGAACACTTTATTGTTATGTGGTTGGATCGCGCGTTGTACCTTACACACATATTTTTGGTGTTCTGCATTGTCCTGAGGTTCTGTCTCTATTTTTTCCTTGGAGAACAAGAAGCATTCTCATAGACGGTATGCATGTAAATGCCTATTTCCGTAGATTCATGGACTCCCATTGGATATAATAAATTGCATTGGTTGGACGATTCAATCTCAAATTTCATCTTTTGGTTCCTTGAAGCCCGATAACTCATCCATGACTAATCAATTATCCGCCTCTTCGAGGCTCAGCGCAAATAAGACGATGCCCATAGAACAACCCAACGCTTTTCTCGAAGGAAAATTCAAGACCATCTCGCATTAGATTTGCTAATGTGCCATGTTTGTACAATGATTGCGACGTCCCCCACATGGCTACCCAAGCCCCACCTCCACCCGCATCTCCCTCTCCTCCCCCTTCTCCGCCCGTGACAGAAGGAATATCAACCTCTTCACCTCGATTACCGTCAGGAGGGGTAACAGGAACAGGAACAATTTCAACATCGCCTCCTGTACATCCCCCGGCCCCAATTCCTCCACCAGTTCCTGTCGAAACACATCCAAACCGCACAGGTCTAAAACCTCCCCCGCCGCGACGCGTTCTCACCGATCCAAACCGTCTCGCGCCAGAAGATGCTTACTACGCACACTCCCCCCCACGGTTCCGTTCTGTAGTCACTAACAACCATGCGGCACATTTACGTCTTCCTGCGGCAGTTGCGGCGTTAAGGCCTCCTCCGGCTGTACCGGGGGCGGAGCCGCGGAGGGCAAAGGAGGCTAGGAGAAGATTTGGGTCGAGACGGAGGAGGCCAAAGGGTGCATGGAAGAAGCTGTTATGGGTTAAGCAATCGTGTACGTTTCCTTACCGATCCAATTGGACACGGTCATTCGTCCGAAGCTAATATTTCCATCACGTTCTGCCCTTGTGTTCTAGATCCGGATAATTACACAGATACAGAGACATTTCTTGACCATCTCCAGCGCAATCCTCGTCTCCGTCCCTATGACTTTTGGCCTTTGGTAGCTGATTCAACGGTCATTGTACAACATGTTTGTTCCGTCGTCCTATTCGTTTGTTGTTTCAGCGGCATTTTCCAAGAGCGTATTAGCCCGGTGTCAGTGGTGGGATGGGGGGAGTATCTGTACAATTCTAGGCTGGGGACTATGGGATTTCTGGGTTGGGAAGGAGCAAGAAGAGGAAGCTCGTTTATCATCCATTGGAGACGTAGCGGGAGGTGACACAGCGTCTATATCTGGCTCCTCCACGCGCTCTGTCAAAGCCACCAATGACGACAGGAACCAGAAGGAGAACCAGATCCCTAGCAATGACTTGCGACTCTCTACATCCAATCTCGATTGCCAGCAGCTTCGACGCCACAGCACGGGACTCAGCACTCTTAGTGCGCACTCACATAGCGCTTCAGCTTGTTCCCTTCATTCTGGAAATTCGCCCCAATCCCCAAATTCCCCGATGTCGCCATTTACGCCAATTAATCTCAACAACGGCTCCCTCCATTTCCCCAATCACTGCCACTACCCTCAGCACTCCACCAACAACGGCTCCACTCTTTCCCCTCGCAACCGCCAACGCCTCGAAACTGCCAAATCCGCCCTCCTAATCTTCTGCGCCCTTCTCGGCCTCAGTCCGATCCTCAAATCCCTCACAAAGTCTACAACCAGTGACTCAATCTGGGCTATGAGCTGTTGGCTCATGGTAATAAACATCTTCTTTTTCGACTATAGTAGCAACAGCGGTGGGAGTGGTACGGGAGGGAGTGCCGAGAGCGGAGCCACCGCTGCTAAATTTCCTTCCTCCTTGTCCACGAACGCCGCCGTCATGGCGTCCACGGGGCTCGCCTCGCGTCTGAAATCCACCACTCACGTATTTAGCCTAACGCTGTTCTCTATTGAAGTCTTTGGCCTATTTCCTGTTTTTCGTCGCCATCTGCGCGCGATTTCCTGGCGGGGTCACGTGTTGCTTACGGTTTCCCTGGTGATTATTGCTAGTGCAGCGGTAGGCATTACGCTGCGCGGTGGGTATATGTCTGCGATATTGGGCATATTTATTGGTAGTTTTTCGACAGCACTGGTTATGGGAGGTTGTAGTTGGTGGCTAATCAGTTTACAGAAGTACAAAAATGTGGTGGCTGGCCCCTGGGACCCGGCCAGACCAGTTCTGAGAAGGCATTGGGACTGAGACATATAGGCTAAATTTTGGTACTTCAAAAATATTCTAAGAGGTGGGCTGGGCGAAAAGAAAAACGTCAATGGCTTGATACTCAGATGATAATGTGGTTCACCACTCAGCGCCCACTTCACTCAACACCCACTTTTTTCCATACAAAATCAGGGATGGTCGGCTGTTGATATTCAAACATCAACTCTATTAACATACTTACGGCAGCCTATAGTGACAAATGTGTCAAATGGGTTTTCTATACTAGTGTTACAATGTACTGTACACACACCTATCATATTCATTCTATTTGTAATTGAATAGAGCTTGTTGATTATTAGAAAGCAATGCATTGCTAGACATCATCTTCAATATATATCATCACTGTGATAAGATAGTACGATAATCACTAGGTTATTTATAGTGAAAAGTCAACATAACCATTTGTTAAATGGTTGTGCTCATAGTGATATATATATATATATATATATATATCCATGGATGTGACCACTAAATCCATTATCTATACACTGCAACCACCGCTGGCAGCCCATAGTGTGGAAACCACAATATATATATTTAGCGATGATATCTACAATGACATAAATTCACTGTTTTAAAATGTACTTAGAGAATTCAAGGTGCATTGCTTTCTAATATAAATTTTTATCAATGAGTGTAAGTGGAATTAAGTAATTACAGTGGAAAACATCAAAAAAACCCATTTGACAGTCACACATTTGTCACTATAGGCTGCTGTAATACTAAATAATTGGTATTAATATAGATAGATATATCATATATCTGAAAATAAATGATTTAAAATTTAACATAAGCCTGTATTACGAGAGTTTTCTCATAAAATTACAGTATATAAATTGTGTGAGATTCATATTAAAGTATTATCATCAACATAAATACTCAGTATTATTCAGTGAAAATCATATATGTATATATTAAAATACTATGTAATTTAGCCTTTAATCTAAACTATAAATATTACGGAGTACAAATAGGTGCATAGAAACTGGAAAATAACAACTAGTAATTATGCTTTTTGATAAATCTATGAGATGTACGGAGTTTAGTAGTGGATTTTAAATTACCCTTTATAAATTATCATAATAGGTTATGGTTGAGATATGAATTTATCACAAGGGGGCTCACTCCCAGCTTCTGAGTTTACGGTCAGGCATCCAATACATGATCGAAGATTCCACTCAAAAGACCCGCAACACCACAATCCAACCTCTTTAAAAATGCGGCAATATACTTCATTATCCTATTTTCTACCTCGTCTTGTCGTGCGGCCTACCACTGTAAAACAATAGAGGTCGGGATAGCACCTCATATCATTTGCCTGACCTCAACTTCGGCCATGGCGGAGCAACAGCCTCTGTACAGTACAACATCGGTCCCTTTCGATCAAGCAACAAAAACACGGATATTCAGTTGAATGTGTATGTTTCTGACAAACATTTTAAGATCGACCTCTTTACTGCGAACTTCGAAAGCTCTCCTCTCCTACTTGCAGAATATCTTCAGCATGTTCAACGTCTAGATCCAGAATATATCCCTAACATCACAGAGGAAGATGAAGTGTTTGAAGATCCTCTTTATCAAATGCATGATTGGGTCTTGCAACCTTTTGTGCCAACTTTCCGCAAACTTACAACTCTGGACCAGAGTCAAAAATACACCCTCGCGGACTGCCTGTTTGCGGAAGAATTCCACTACTGTTCAAGCAGTGGAAGAGAGTTTGGTCCCTGTTTACCTTACCAACTCGAAAGCCAAGGAGCACCACCTTATCGGAGCTCGTTTGCCGTCTTCTATCCACATGGACTATTCGATGTTTCCCATCTACCATCCTAGCACAATTCAGATTCCGATCGATTCGAGGTTATTGCCGGCGGTACCTCAGAAAGTGTTTATCCATGGAACACCAAATCCTAGCTTCTTCAAGATAGTCTATAGAGGTGATGTGGGAATCACTTTGAAGGAGCCTCTCACATACTCAAAGATTCATACAGCTAAATTTGACGCTACAGTTCGCACATCGCGACTTGAGGGCTTAGTTGAGGATGACAATGGACGTGTTATGGGACCGCCCCCCCTCATATATTGATTGTGTGCTACCCTACAGTGCATTGATGGACGCGATCCCAGGTTGTCTGAACTTCGGAAAAAATGGCTTGACCAAATCACTGTCACACTGAAGCACCTTCATTCTCAAGGTATTATCTGGGGAGATGCAAAAGCTGCCAACGTTCTAATTGATGTTAATGAGGATGCATATTTGAATGATTTTGGAGGAGGTTATACTCAAGGCTGGGTTGGGTGGGAAAATGCCAACTCGATCGATGGAGATCTTCAAGTGGTATCTTTTTAAATAAGTTCTGCAGGAACTTCCTTTTCCAGATTCATGTGTTTACTGTTGCTTGTTGCTTATCCCCTATTAGACGTTTGAAAGGTATTGGTAAACTAGACATCCTCTAAGACAACTCCTCCTTCAGCTAAGCATTCAAGAAGTGCCCTGTCCCTAAAATCCTCAACGGGCAGCCTGTTGTGTTCTGGATGGTTGATAATGGAGAGATGATTATCCGTAAAACAATCCGACTTTGTTGATGCCGACACACGACTTATCGTGACAAGAATTTGCAATAACTAGCACCGCGAGCAGTGCTTCGATGCAGAAATAGCGGACGGGAATAACAG